GTGTCAGACAGACAACTTTTCATGTGTGAAAAAAATGTCTCTTGTGTAGAATTTAGGGTTGCTGAAGTTAACACATAAATAAGGCATTAACAATCTCACTTTGACGCAGTAAAAATAAATAAATAAATAAATAAATAGCGTCATTAACGCAGATTATATTTGACTCTATTCTATTTTAATTCTGTTTGAATCACCCATAGTTGCCAGGGTTACCAGGTCAATGGTTTTTCCTTTAAACAAACACTATTTATTGCACGCCTCCCATCCAATAATCACAAAGAGCTTTGTCCTTTTGATACTTGAACTTTTGATAAAAAAAACAAAGGCTCAGCTCTCCAATTTGGTCCATTTTATGACAAAATTCAAGCTATAAATGGTGTTTTGACGCTCTTAAATGGGAGGGTTCACTCTATAGTTTATAGCATTAGTTGGGAAGAAAACCAAACTATCGGTATTGGTATGTAATTCTGAATAATCGGCACAGAAATGTAGTAGACTATTGGTGCATCCCACCTAAATATGAACAATATTAAACATTCATACAAATTGTGTAATGCAGATAAATAAAGTCTAAACAGAAAACATCAACTTTTGTTTCCAAAAGCTGAGGTAGCTTTCTGGGCATGTGTAGGCGTAGCTACTTATTCTCTGAATATAAACTGCACATATCAGTGCATGCATGCCCTACTGATGAGGCTCCAGTGGGCGTGACAGATTTCACACAGTATTATATTATATAAATCACTGATGTAACAAAAATCAGTGTTTAGTTTTGCTTGTTTGTTTTTGTTCAATGGGATGTTTCTCATGGAAAGAAAAAAGGTACAGCGCTGTCACTAGGGTGATATCCTAAAGCTAAAAGGTAAATCTTTGTACATTATTTACCCCTAAATTGCCAATATTAGTACCTTAATGCTATACTAGTATTTTGAAAGTACATGTTAGTAGCCTACCTAAAATGTACATATTAGTACCTTTTAGCTTTTGTACCTTATACCGCCCCCAGTGACAGCATCGTACCTTTTTTTCTGAGAGTGTATAATTTATTTCTATAATACAAATACATATGTGATATATTTCAACTTAGAAGAACAATTGTCTTTCTTTTTCTAATTTATATATTTACGAACCTCTATCCCCTGCTGCATTAATGGCAGAGGTAAGTATCACAGTACGTAGAGCCGTTTTGTCTGAGACCATAAAATGCAACCCTAAATTAAAAAAAAAAAAAAAATATATATATATATAGCCTATATAATACCAGCTTGTAAAACTGCCAGCTAGAGCCATAAAATCTCCAAATCATGACATCTATTGTCTAAATAGGCTGCATTTTATAGAAGCTGTGTAACTGGAAAGTATGCATCAGTTCAGACATAACACTTATTACTGATTCATGATGATAAGAGTCCAAGATTTCTGGCATAATGCAGTCAGAATGTATGCATGGAAAAACTCAAGACGACTTAAGGTGCTGCTTAAGTGCTCTTTTGATTTTAGCCAGAATTCGGTTTTAACATTTATGTTATTTGTTTATGTATTTATTAAGTGTTTCTATGGCAGAAAAATGTAACTGTAGCAGATTTTTAAAAAAGTCTTGACAACTGTGTATTTTCTATTTTATGCTGTAATGGTCAAATGTGGCCAGTAGAGGACTATGTTGCGCTTTTTTAGTTATTGGTTCTCTCAGTAACCACATTATGGCAACTCTTTTACATCACATAGATAGATAATAGATAGATAGATAGATAGATAGATAGATAGATAGATAGATAGATAGATAGATAGATAGATAGATAGATAGATAGATAGATAGATAGATAGATAGATAGATAGATAGATAGATAGATAGATAGATATTTTTATTTTGTTATATACAAATAATATTTCTGATTACCTGGATTAACAAACATTTTTTTGTTATTTTCGTCATAGAATAGTTTGTCATAGAATAGTTTTCAGCATATTTTTTTGTCTTAAAGGCATAAAAAAAAAAAAAAACTTTCATTAAACAACAGAAGATGTAACATAAAGCCCAAATGTACATAACTGATAACAAAAACTATTAAAAAACATGATTATTTAAACAAAATACTTTCAAATGTGGAGTGTCATGCAGGGAATTCTGGGAATATCAGTTTACAGTTTCTGACTGTAAATTATACATTGATTTGTTATTTTTTACTTCAGAAAACTGTACAATTAACAGCATTTTACTGTAAAATTACATGAAATGTCTGGTTAGATCTTTTACAGTTTTTCCCTGTATATAGTACGGGAACTTACTGTTAACCTATTAACAGTTTTTATTTGTTTTTTTCATAGAGTTTTTACAAAATTCTACAGTTAAAATTACACTTATTTTTTACAGTGTGGTACCCGAAATACCCAAAACTCTATTAAGAGTCTTCTATCAGCCAAGAAGTTGCCTGAGGAAAAAGCCGGTGAATAGCAGAAGCAGGAGATGAAGTGATGATGGTAAAAAGGAGCAGAGTTTATTGAATAGTCTTAGTTGCGTGACCAGCACAAATTCAACATGTACTGTTATAACAAAACTGCTTCAAAACAACACCACATAAACCTTGAGTTTCCATAAACATTCCCTTTTATCTCTTATTCATGAAGACAAACAGCCATTGAAACCATAAGACTAAACAACAATGGAAAAATTATATAAAAATATAATATAATATAAATGACCAATCAATTAATGAATCAATTAAATGGGTATATAAATGACTATAATGACTATTATAAATGATTATGTGATTAAATTGAATAATAAATGAATGAATGAAGAATAAATTAATATAAAAGAAAGAAAGTAAAACACAACACAAATGTATGGTTGCTCTCTTGAAGCAAAACACACAGTTTGCATCTGAAGATCCTCCGATCCGTATACCAAATGGTAGAGTTGGGACCAAATGTTAGATTGTAATCTGACAAACGCATATTTCCCATGACTTTGATTTTTTTTTCTTTCCAACAGTAGCTAATGCAGCAGTACAATAACAGTTGAGAAAATGGAATTAAATCATACATTTTTCATCCTGTCATGATGCAGAAAAAAGAAAAAAAAATATTTTGTGTGTGTTACAATTTTAAGCAATGTGTAGCCTAGTTTTTGCAACAGGAGGGGATCCGTGCAGGAACAGAATTGGGAATTCAAAATTCGTTTTTTGGTAAATGAAACTATTTATTTATTTAAATACAGAAGTCAATGGATAACATGGAATACTAACAAATAGTACATTATAAATTGTAACAGATTATAGTGAATGCTTTTGATAATAATATTATTATTACTGGCGTCTTTAGAATAAATGTACTCGCTTTGGGGAAGAAAAAAAAGTTTTTTCTGGACTTCCAGGCACAGTTCATCTTGGCAGTAAATATAATAGATGATGTTTTATGGGAGGAGTCAGGCAGGAGGCGGGGTCACAGCAGAGCGCTGCGGAAAGTAAAACACAACACAAATGTATGGTTGCTCTCTTGAAGCAAAACACACAGTTTGCATCTGAAGATCCTCCGATCCGTCATTATGTCACTAATCATTTGAGATGCATTGCTCACAGGTGAAGATAAGTCATGATCAGTTCAGCATGCACAGACTCCATCCTCCTGTGCTCTATAATTCATGAGAAATGGCGTGTTATTGCGAAATGTCCTCGTTCCTGAGATATCTGAATAATATAAAACACACTGCATCTACAGTAACTTCTCTGGATTAGTTCAGTCAAAGTCAATGATATGAAACATGTAAACTACCAGGCCTATTCTTTGACAGTCATAATCAGCGTTCACTGAGCTCAAATGCCTGTGAGTGAGGGTGTCAGTAAATTCTATTAAACTCTGTTATAGCAAGGAAAGTGTATAATAGCATAATATGCACTGAGCTGTGCTGCTCTGTTCCGGCACTTAACCTTTTATAAGTATCATATTCAGCGACTGACATTTTAATACATTATATGAGGCGTGCTAAAGCATTTGGTACTTATATAAAGTAGAAAACATTTTTAAAAATCTTCATTTAACTCTTTCAGCTTCATAAAAACACTGATTCTAAGTGTTTTTTTATTTTTTCATATTTAAATTCAATTAGTGAATTATAAATTTCAGAAAAATCAGTGTTCAAAATGGTGTTTGAGCT